CACACACACACAATACATGCAAAAATGACTCATGGGGCTGGCATACAATTTGTTTCAGGGCAGTAAAAAGGCTGGAAAAAGGGTGCGAACATTGATGTTATTACAATTATGGCCCTCCATGAATCATTTCCTGCGGACACCCATGTTCACGTGTATGAGTATTTTCATTTACACGTCACTGTGAGTTGCCTTGTACATTAACATTTACAGTATTAATATTTTGTAGATTTACATTATAATTCTTACAAGGTTCTGACAAGGTTATTCACTAAAATCCAAATGAGCAAGATTCTGTAAAAATCACTAGTCCTTTCCTGGATTTGCAATTCAGATATTTACTAACAGCAAATTCAAGGAACATTAAGCACATTTAATTTGTTAATTATTACAATAAATCAACCTACTGTTAGCAGACAAACATGCTTAAATTCACAAGCAGCCAGTGGGCATCTACTTAAAACAAAGTAAAATTAATAACATAATACAAACTGGGGAACCCCAAACAAAGCAGCAAGAACCTAGGGATATGGTTCACGCCATTTATATGCAGAGAGTTATGTAAGTTTAGCAATCCAGCAGCGAACAGTCAAAATGTTTTTAACCCTCTCACAATAATTCTTTTTAATGTGTTAATTTTTAATTTATTTAATTACTGGAGCTTATTGCACTCCCTGTGAGTTAGTTTTTAAAATGCTGCTAATTATTACTTTTTATAGCTTCTATTTGACTTAATTAGCAACTGAGAATCAGCAAATTCAGAACAACTGGATTCTCATTATTCAGTTGGGTATTTCTATAATTTAATTCTATATTTCCATCATTTGACTGTATATTTTTATCTTCCAGTTCAAGATTTGAAATGTTGAGAATTTCAGGTATTCTATTCTATTCTATTTGATATTCTCTGGAGGGCCAACATCAATTCAAAAGCAGTGTTTATTGCTTCTTTGAGAGATTGATAAGTGTTATGATTCTTTAATGGGTTGTCAGTGATTATTTTAGCATTTGTGCAAGATTAAAATGCTTAGAGAATAGTCATTTGAAATAGTGGTGATTTGCAGTATTAAAAAGTAGGTTTTGTGTACTGTTTATATATTGTTCTACACTCAACTGATGAACTCTTGACTTCTACTATCCATATCATCAGAATGAAAAGGAACACTGTAAGTACCCCTCCCCACCAGGGGTCAACTCCTGGGGAAAAAAGTGTGGGAACTCACCCAAGATCCCCCCCACCCCAAAAAAACCCCAACCCAAAACACTCGTATGCATATATAAACGCGTGCACACACACACTCAGACACACATACACTCACAGACACACACATACTCAGACACTCACACAGTGGTGTATTTTAATTTTGTGCTGCCCTAGGCATGACTATACCTGAGCACCCCCCTAATCTAAATTACCCAACATTTTCTGTCAAGGGTGCACCGCTTCCTGATAAAGAACCCATCCCTTCCACTTTAGACTCCACCTTTTCCTGCTCCTTTTAAAGAAATACAAAGCTAAATACAAAACAAAGCTGTTTTCCTGGCACTATAATTCCCTATAGTGCCCCCCTCCCTCGTGTCCTCCTCTCCCCCACTCGACACTGAAGGGGTTAAAATCCTATGGGTATTTAGCAGATGCTGGATGTCCTCATGCACAGGTTGAGGACGTCCAGTATCAGTTAGGTAACCTTTGGTCACCTAACCACACGAAAGTCCCTCTAGTGGCTGTCTGCTACACAGCCACTACAGGTGGAGTTACCTCTCAAGGTAATTATTGCAATTTCTGAGAAACTGCAATAATTACACTTGCAACCAGACCACTTCAATGAGCTAAAGTTGTCTGGGTGCCTATAATGTCCCTTTTAACAGACTCTTTGACAGACACTGACACACACTGGCAAATACACAATGACAGTAACACACACGCAATGACACACACACATTCACTGACACACACTCATTCAGTGATGGAGAGACACACACAAACACACTGACAGACACACACTAATAGTCACACACACTAAATGACAAACAGACTCTCACTGATTTGACAGACACTCACAAACATACACTAACAGAAGTACATACACACAAACAAACACATTCACACACTAACATAAGCACATATACTCATACACACACACGTGCATTGTAACAGATCACCTGGCACCCCGACTGGGTACCTCCGTTGAAGGATAGCGCTTTCTGAGGACTCCAAGCACTGCAGCAGACACCACAACCACCAAACCGGAGAAGCATATGAATGCTCTCAAGCATATCAATGCTGTAAGCAGCTGAACAGGAAAAGCATACAATCAGCTTACACACTCCTGGCAATCAGCATACAATCCAATTCCCCCAATAACAAGAGGACACTTCATTTTGAGGTCAAGCAGAACTGACTGTACTGGCACATACAGCCTCTTTTATTCACAATCCACAAACATAGTACTGCCCAAAGGGTTTTGAAATACAACCAACAATCCGTACAATACACACAGACACTCCCACACAAAATCCTCCCCTCTGCCTGTGATATGATTACTGAACACAATGGTTAATATAATTATCACAGGCAGAGAAATACAGTATTATAAAACATATCACAGGGACCCCAAAACATGCAATAACCCCATAAAGTATATCCTCTGAACTGGGGGATCTGGGTGAACCACATATCCAAAATTCACCCAGATCCGTTCAGTAGTTTGGAAGATACAGTTTAATGCAGATTCTACAGAACATATATAGGCTATATGAAAAATAATTACTGTATAATGTGTCCCCTGTTGTATAGTTTAAAACTACTGCACAATGTCTTTGTGCACCAAATACCGGCGAGATGGCGCTGTGTAGAAAAGTCCAAACAGTGTCTGTGAGTTAAAATGGCCACCATCCATTGTTCTCACCATGTGCTTCATCCATTGTTCTCACCATGTGCCTCTGATACATGAAATGGTGGCCACCCAGTAACTCCACAGTTTGTTTGGTAGTCTATCCAGCCGGACCAACAGATGAAACACATGGGGCCCAGTGCAACAAACGAAGGGAATAATACAAAATATGGACAACAGTACAGGACATATTTGTTCACAATCTCCAGTTTTGTCACAGGGCACAAATAGTGTTTTCAAATGCCATATATCCCAGGGCCATAGTCAGGTGGTAGGAGGTGGGCAAGCAGTCCCCTCCAAGAACACGTGGCGAGGTCTGTTCTGCCACTTTTCTCCCCTTTACCCACCAGACTAACAGGGTATCTGACCTCCTGCCGGTCAGTGCCCTGGTTAGTCCCGCAAAGCACCCACAAAACAGAATCCGCAGTATAACCCACCCACATAAATTGGTTACTACACCTGGGGTAGTGGGTCGCTTGTCCATGTCCAGGAGCTCCACCTCGGCTCTGGGGTGTACTAGCACTCTGGATCGATGGGTTGCTGAGTGGGCAGAGACCAGCGCTACCACAGGAGTAGCCTGGTTGGAGCCCAGGTGAGGGAATGGCGTAGTAGGCTCTTCACTCCGGACCTGGGGCTGCTGCTGGAGGGGAAGCCAGGCTGTCTCCCCTTTGGATGAACAACCCTGCTGCTGGGGGACAGGACCGACCATCCCTACCCCCTGTGAGGCATGTGCAGAGACCACGGTCCCATCTGCATTGGTGTGGGGCATAGCATCTCCCCTTTGTGGGATAGGCTGCTGCTGAGGAGGTGAACTGATGGTCTCCACTCCCAATATAATACTCTTCCACTGGGGAGTAGGACCGACTGTCCGTACTCCCTGTAGCTTGGACGCAGAGACCACGGTCCCATCTGCCCCAGTGTGGGGCTTATCATCTCCCCTTGGTGGGCTAGGCTGCCGCTGGGGAGAGGAGGTAACAAGCTCCTCTCCCATACATACTTCCAGCCGCTGGGGAGGGAGACCGACTGTCTCCGCTCCCAACACAGTGTCCTGCTGCTGGGGAAAGGAGACTGGGCTCTCTATTCCCTGCTGGGCACTCCACCTCTGGGGAGGGAGGACAAGGCTCTCCTCTCCCAGTAAGTCACTCTGCTGCTGGGGGGGGACCAGTTGTCTCCTCTTCCTAAAACTCACTCTGCCGCTGGGGATCTGGGCCGACTGCCCAGCATCCCTGTAGGGCCGGTAGAGAGACCTCAGTCCCACCACTTGCCACCAATGTAACGGAGCTCCAGTACTCTAACCGAGTACCTCCGCCAAGTCTGCTTCCTTGTAGCTATCAGGGACCCTGAAACACTTCAGACCCAGACGCCGAGGCTTGACTGGGATCACTTAGGGCCTTTTCCACCCTGGACCAAACACCAGACGACACATGGTGAAGGTTAAACAGCAACTCTTTTATGAATACAGCACACATAGTTTTTAAGCCCCCATTTACATACAATAGGTTACATAGATTACTATAGTACAAGGAAGGATGGGGGCAGACAATATCAAGGGCTGATGGGAGATTGAGGAGGGACAGAACAGCTAGTTTAAACTGGTCTGGCAGTGTCCCTGGGACAACGCCCTGCTGGGGAAACAATAGGACAGGAAAAAGGGGGAGGGGGAGATGCACAGACCAGCAATACATTCAACATACCCTGCACAAATATTAGGCACAATGTGACAAAACACAAAAGTAATTTGGGAGCTCACCCATAGTGTCTGTCTTTCATCCCCAGTGATGGTCACTACCGTCACATGCATACACTAACAGAAGCACATACACTCATACACACGCGTACATACGCTAATAGATGTAAATACACTCATACATACACTAACAGACACACATACACACACAGACATACACACACATACATACACTAACAGACACACACACACACACACACACACACACAGACATACATAAACAGACATATATACAAAGTAATAATATTATTAAAATCAACATTTCCCACCCACCCAACCTCCCTACCTTTTTGGAAATCTGGCATGGATGGGTCCCTGGGGTCCAGTGGGGTTGCAGTGAGGCAGGCGGCTGTCTCCCTGTCACATGCGGCGAGGGAGCTGTGTTCTCTCTGCTCCCTTGCACGGGCTGTCTACTGATGCCGGGAGCCAGAATATGATGCCACATGTCGGCTCCCGGCATCAGCAAACAGCACGCAAGGGAGCAGAGAGAACACAGCTCCCTCGCCGCGTGTGACAGGGAGACAGCCGCCTGCCGTGGGGTCAATCAGGTGGCCCCCCCACGACAGGGGGAACACAGGGCATTTGGGGTGGAAGTGCACTTATGAGTGCCAGGAATCTTACTGGATAGTGGGCAAGTAACTTTTTACTTTGGATTTTGTTATATGGTAGACAGCCAATCTGAACCCTGCAATATAAACATTGCAGTTTCTCTGGAACTGCAATATTTTTCATTGCAAGTTTAAGGGAACAGGGACCGTGCACACAGGCCACTTTAATCAGATGAAATAGTCTGGGTGTCCCTTTAATAATATTAGGTTTAATCTAATGAATTTTTAAACTATTTATGGTTATTGTTAAAATTGTCAAAATGACAATATGTAAATGCATATTTGCACGTTTTCTGAAGTAATGAGGTCACTATAGAAAAAAATGCAAACTCTTTCACTATATCACTTTGTGGTATTATAATTTCCACCAATATTACTATTATAGCATATAATATAACACCAAGTGTTCTGGTAGATGAAAAGGTATATGTAAAGAAACTTCCCTCTAAGTTGTAGATTTAAACCCGAAGATCTCCTCAAATCTTCCACAAATACATAGATACAAATATTGGGTCAATCCAACTATAGGGGAATAAAAAATAACATGGTGCAACTCTGTATGATACTATTATAATGATGATATGTGCCAATGAGTCACTCACACTTTGGCTGTTAAAACAGGGCGTATCAAAAATCAATGTAGCTATCAGACAGTTCTCTGCTTCCAATGTCTGATCTTCCAGATCTCAATTACATTGAAAATAAAATGCATCCAGAATGAAATATAGAAAGATGTGCAAAAAAGCATTTATTACTTACACATAGGTAAGGATCAATTAGCATAAAAATAAGTTAAAACTGTCCACAATCTGCATTTCCTCCCACTACAGGGACTTCTTCAGGGACTTTACAGCAGTGTGACAGGTACAACAATGAATAAAAACCATTCCCCCTCCCTCCCTCTTAAATACACCCCACAATCAGTACATAAAGTCCTTTCATAAGTTCCTCGATTGAGTTTCAGCTGCTCCCGGTTAGATTACAATAACTTCCTGGTTCCGGGTATATGACGTCATCACGTTCCGTTCCGGACGTCGGACGTGCGTTCCACTTGCGTTCCACAAGGTTTTTTCAATGGTGATATGATTCTTGCGTTACACATGCGGTCCACCATAGCAGGACCCTTTGAAATTGATGTGTATACACGATATAGATGTCGAGGGGGAATAAGAACATACATATAAGATACTTTTACGCACACTTTCCCATTTAATCAGATAATTGTCACATATCTCCTCCTGTTTATACAGTTTCAAAGTGCATACCTCATTCAATATAGTTAATATATATAGTAAAGTCTCTGTAAACAACCATGTAAAAATTGTAAAAACAATCCTCTTACTATTTAAAGGAGTATATTCCATATTTCCAAATGAGTAAATATTTCCCCATATTATTATTTAATTTTTTCATATAGTTATAATTTATTATTTATCAGAATTGATCAATAAAAAAATATATATCAATGCCTATTTTAGACATCTGTGATTCATTTTTTTCTAATGAATTTTTATTTAATTCTTTATATACATGTATCAATAGAATTAAAGGACCACTATAGGCACCCAGACCACTTCAGCTTAATGAAGTGGTCTGGGTGCCAGATCCATCTAGGATTAACCCTTTCTTTTATAAACATAGCAGTTTCAGAGAAACTGCTATGTTTATAATATGGTTAATCCAGCCTCTAGTAGCTGTCTCTTGACAGCCGCTAGAGGCGCTTGCGTGCTTCTCACTGTGAAAATCACATTGAGAAGACATCCAGCGTCCATAGGAAAGCATTGTAAATGCTTTCCTATGAACTGGCTGAATGCGCGCACGGCTCCTGCCGCCCATGCGCATTCAGCCAATGATGTCGGTATGAAGGAGGAGAGGAGGAGGAGAGGAGGAGGAGAGCTCCTCGCCCGGCGCTAGAGAAAGGTAACCCCTTTTTTAACCCCTTCCTCTCCCCAGAGCCTGGCGGGAGGGGGACCCTGAGGATGGGGGTACCCTCAGGGCACTATAGTGCCAGGAAAACAAGTATGTTTTCCTGGCACTATAGTAGTCCTTTAAGCTTATTTTACCTATAACTAAAATTTGTCAGACATCATTAAATGTGTGTATTTTGATTTCTTTCTTCCACACTTTTTTAGTTTCTTAATTTTAAGGGGAAATGTTTTTTTCTTATTTTCTTTCTATTGCACATGATTGCAGAAAGAGACTCTTTACACTCCTATACAAACAATAAGAGAGGATATGAGGGACTAAGTACAAAAACCATAAAAACTAAAACTAAAAAATAAAGATAAAAAATCGCATTCAGAAGATCCCCAACACCATGAGATAAAAATCAAATAGAATAGAACATGTATATGATACAAAGCTCCAGTAGACTGATTCAATTCTAATCTAAAAAGCACCATAAATCGATGTCTTGGTTGAGTCCCCTTGGTTGCAGGGTTTTTAGTGTATTGATCCAGTATGTTTCCCGTTGGGCTAACTTCTTAATTAGGTTACCACCCCTCCAATAGCTTTCTATTTTTTCTACACCTAGATAATGAAAGTCTTGCCAATTAAATTTGTTGCATACATTGCAATGAATTGGAACGATATGTTTATTTGATTTTTTTCGAATATTACTTTGGTGTTCCAAGATACGTTCTTTTAACTTCCTGCAGGTCCGCCCTACATATTGTTTCCCGCAGGGACACTGCAGGACATATATTACATCTCTGGTATCACAGTTTATATTAGATTTTATACTAAGCTCTTTTCCTGTTATGTTACTTTTAATTTTTTTTACACTTAATAGTCTATGAGTTCTGCAAGCCTTGCATTTGTTACATGAATGGAAACCTGTTCTATTTTCTATTGTAATATTTCTATGTGGATTTTTCAGGGCATAGCTAGGTGCCAATATGTTTTTTTAGGTTACTTGCCTTCCTAAAAATTACTGGTGCCTTTCTTGGGAGTGCTTTACCCAAGATGGGATCCTTAAGTAAAATATCCCAATGCTTTTTTAGGATTTTTTTTAATCTCTTAGTGCTGTGCATTGAATTGGGTGATAAATGCATATTTATAAGCTTCCTTTTGTACTTTATCCTTCTTTTTTGTTTTAATAGTTCCCTTCTATTTAATTTTCCAATTCTGGATGTCTCTTGTTTTAAAATAGTTCTATCATATTTCTTAGAGATCAATTTATTTGATAGATGACTAGCTTGTTCACAATATTCGCTATCTTTCGAGCAGTTTCTCCTGATTTGCGTTAGTTGGCTTTTTGGTATTGAGTTTAACCAGTTTTCATGATGACAACTCTTTTTGTGTATGAAGCTATTTCCTTCCGTCTCCTTGAAATAGCATTTTGATTGAATCTTGGCCTGATCCACAAAAAAATGTTATATCCAAAAAATTAATACTATCTGTGTCATACGTGTACGTGAACTTCAAACCGTAGTTATTAATATTGCTGTGTGACAAAACGTCATCTGTAAAACGTTTCCATAGGACCAGGTTTGCAGCTCAGCTATGCCCCCTCCATATGGAGTTGGCTTCCCAATTTCTCATGTATATGGTGGCATAGCTGGGGGCAAACCTGGTCCCCATGGCTGTACTCGTTTGTTGAAGGTAGAAAGTTTAATTGAAATAAAAATAGTTATGATGGAGAATAAAGTGTATACCTCTTAATAGAAAATTTCTTAAGGGACTTTGTATATTGATATCTTCTTCCATAACTTTTTCCACCGCTGATAGACCCACTTCGTGCTTAATGATGGTATATAAAGATGTTACATCTATCGTAACCCATATGTTGTTCTCGTCCCACTGTTTATTATCAAGAATTTGTAAAATATGGGACGAATCTCGTATATACGAGGGTGCTTCTTGGGCATATTTTTGTAAATGGTGATCTATAAATTCTGATTGATGGGCTGTTATTGAATTTATCCCACTAATAATTGTCCTTCCTGGGGGTTCTACAGGGTTTTTATGCAATTTTGGCAAGAAATAAAAAATTGGAATTACTGGATATTTATTAAAAAGGTATTGGGCATTCTCTTTGGAGATAATGTTTTTATATGTTGCAAAGTTTAACAAGGATTCCAGTTCTAAATTGAAGTCTACCGTAGGGTCCTGTTTCAATTGGACGTATGTGTCTTTTTCCCCCAATACAATCTACAAGCTTCTTTTAAATAATATTCTTTTGTCATTATCACTATTGCTCCTCCTTTATCCGCCTCCTTGATGATAATTTCTTCCATACCTTGTAGTCTCCGAATGCTTTCTGCTTCCTCTCTACTAAGATTAAATTTGTTTTTCTTTTGTTTATTCAAATTAAATTCTAATTGTTCTAAATCTGCAATTACCATATTGTTAAATGTCTCTAAATGAGGACCTTTAAGATGTATTGGGTAGAAAGTAGATTTGTTTTTAAACTCTTTCTTTTTTATACTCATTTCTGGGATTATTCTATTTCCTTCTATTTCTTGTTTGAGGAAGAACCTTTTTAAGGTCATTCTCCTAATGTATTTCTGAAGATCTACATAAGTATCAAAATTATTGATATTTTTATTTGGGGCGAATTCCAAACCCTTTCTTAGAGCTTAGCTATTGGGGTTAATTGAATTTCTGTTAGATTATACATTACTGCTTGTTTTTCTAATTCCTTCTCCTGTGGTTTTCTTCTTTTGGAGTCTGGATTTAATTGGTGATTTGTTCATAGAGAGTTTTCTGTGTCTTAATGAGACAGGACTAGGTGCATTATAATGATCGTATGGCCTGGATTTCTCCATTCTATTTGGCCCTCTATAAGTGGGTTTGGTTCATTGTGTTTTTATTTTATTTATAGTAGAAAAAGTTTTCCTTATTTTATCTTCTCTATCTCTAATGTTCTTCTTATTTTTTGTGTTAGCTATTTTT